TGTTTGGCTTTCAGTACCTATTTATCTGTTGCTCTCTTTGTCTCAGTAGATCCTCTTTTACCTTAACCAGATTGTTGACAGGCAGGGAGGTCCCTCTCAGCATCTGGTAACACACAAATATAGAGAAGACAAAATCTAATTTATGCACACAGCGAAATCATGACATAATGTAAAAGCCTTAGTTGAAGACAGTTATAATCATGTAGTAGAGAAAGTTTTCACAGGACTGCCCAGTGAAAAACTAAGTACACCTCATGATTCAGCAGCATGTTAGCGTCTTAGGGTCCTGACAGAGCATTTCAGTCGCGTTAAGGTCCAGACTTGAACTGGGTCATTGCAACATCTTTATTATTTTTTGTGCATTCTTGTGTAGATTTGCTTTTCCCTGTTGGACAGATGGCGTTATATTTACAGTGATGTGAAAAAAATACACTTTTCCTGATTTCCTAACTTCTGTATGTTTGTCACACTTAAATGTTTCAGATCATCAAACAAATGTAAATATTAGACAAAGACAAAACAAATAAGCACAAAATGCAGTTTCTAAATGAAGAAGTTTATTATTAATGGGGAAAAAAAAATTCTAAACCTACATGGCCCTGTGTGAAAAAGTGAAACCACCCCTAAACTAACCCTAACTTGTTGGGCCACCATTAGCAGCAACAACTGCAATCAAGCCTTTTTCGATAACTGGCAATGAGTCTTTTACAGCGCTGTGGAGGAATTTTTGCCCACTCATCTTTGCAGGAATTCATTCACAATGAAGGGTTATTGAACATGAATCGCCTATTTAAGCTCATGCCACAGCATCTCAGTCAGACTTTGACTTCATTTTGGCGGTTTTTAAGCCATTCAGAAGTGGGCTTGCTGATGTGTTTTCTATCATTGTCCTGCTACAGAACCCGAATACCCAAATACGCTTGAGGTCACAAACAGATGGCCGGACATTCTGCTTCGGGATGTTTTGGCAGTCCATATTGTCCAAAACAACCCCACCATCACACTACCACCACCATATTTCACTGTTAGATCCAAGATAGCGCCGATGTTTGTGGCTCGCCATCTACCTGTCTTACCTGTTCTGTTTTTCGTCTTATTGATAATGTTAACTTTGCTCCAGTTTGCTCTGTGTGTGTTTGTTCTAGTTTTTACCCTTTTACTATGTAAAGCACTTTGGTCAACCTCTGTTGTTTTTAAATGTGCTTATAAATAAATTGAATGATTGATTGATACTGTTGGTATGATGTTACTTTTCTAAAATACTATGTTACTTTTACGCCCGATGTAATGGGACACAAACCTTACAAAAAAAATAGACAATCAGAAAGGGGACAAACACTTTTTCACACCACTGTAACTCTAGAATACTATAATACAATGATTGCAAGATGTCCAGTGCCTGCAAAAATAATTACTGGTATGAGGTGTTTGTGCTGACTGTGGTTTTTGAGTTTGGTTTTTGTCAAACATGGTGAATTTTATATCCAATCATCTGAATTTAATTTTAGAGATTCATCTGAAATGTAACACATTGTAATTTGTGAACTATTGCTAATTGCATCTAAAACAACACCCAACCTTATCTCTAAATAGAGAGCTCCATGTTATGATGTTAACAGGGAGAAGTTCATTGCCCCCAACCTACGACCTCTGTCAAAACCAGACTCAGGGAGGGGTAGCCAACAGCAGCTGGTTGGTGAGATTAAAGAGAAGACATATTTGAAAGCCATAGAAAGACAGTGATCAAACCACAAGTAACTACCTCTCTGAATAATAGGGTTGCTGTGTCCTAAATCATCCTTTCTCAATCTATGAGCATATTTACCTACACAGGATCAAGTCGTGGTCTTTTTATTTCCATACTTTTTCACTTTCCTCGTTTCTATGTTTATTTTCACTTTTATATGATAGCTGTAAAACCCCACTCACCTGTTTAAGCCCTGGATCACATTGATGTCGCTGTTGCCATAGTGACTGCTCATCTCCACCGCAGCCCTCTGTTCCAGTATCACTGTTATGACCAAGTTCACCTCCACACTTTCCTTTGAGCCTGTGCTCCATGTGCTCAGTCAGCCACATCTGAGTGCGTGCTTCAAGTTGAACTGGGGAGGTTCTATTAGTCTGATGACCCAGTGGAGAGTCCATTTGGTTGTATGAGATGGGTTGATAAATACTGTAGTCCATGTATTGTTTCACTGGTGAAGACAGAGGTGAGAAAAGGGACATATCTGCCTCCAAACCAGTGGATAGCCTGCAATTGTTGTACTGGTAACCTGTGCTGGCACCTGGCGAGTGCTGGAGTAAGCTATTGCAGGCTGTGGGAGAAAGTAGCGGTAAATATAAGTCGACATCTGAAAGTTGAGGTACCCTTCTATGCCTATGCTGAAGAACTCTGTCTAGGGATCCTTGTGCATTTGGGTTGTACCGATATCCTGCTGTGCTAGTATTGCACGTATCAGTTCCTAATGATAAGTTGGAAAGCGAGGAGCACCTCCGGATAGACTGATGGTCCTTTGTGTCTAGACAACTGTGTGGGTCCAGATGAGATGTGGCTGGCACATGCTGCTGAGAAGACCAGTATGAGTAATTTGTGCTGTGGCTTGAAGCTGGCATTTTAAAAGTGGTTTTATGTGAGGATGAAACAAATGGCCTTACATGGACAGTAGGAATGCCATTATCCTGGCCCAAGTGCTGCTGCAAGAGTGGCTGGGAATACAGATGGGTGGTACTGGAACTGGAGTCATCTAGGGAAAGATATAAATGGTTAAAGAAAAAATATGGGAAGGATCAAATAACAACTAAATAGAAATCATTGTTAAAACAACACCAACCTATATTTATTGAGAACTGTAAAAAAAAATTTCCCTTCAAGAAAGGGTTTTAGCATTTTAAAAAAAAGAAAAAAGGTACTGTATGCATTTACATAAAGACCGCAGTGACAAGATTGTGTATAATGCATGGATGGCTGTAGCTCAGGAGGTAGAGCAGATCATCTACTGATCAGAAGGCTAGTGATTCAATCTATGGCTCCCCCAGTCTGCATGCCACTTGGGCAAGATACGAACCCCAAGTTGCTCTCCATTGCATCCATCGGAGTATAAATGTGTGTGAATGTTAGTTAGGAAGCACTGAAAAGCACTGAAGACAGTGAATGTGGTATGTTGTATAGAGCGCTTTGAGTGCTCTGGGGAGAGTAGTAGCTATATAAGAATCATTGCCATTTACCATATATGCTCCTTGGGAAATCTATCTTGTAACTTACGACGCAACCCAAAACTCCTTTTAACCCTACGCCATAATCTTCCAGGGTTTTCAGAGACTTAAGAGCGTGTGCTAAAAGAGTAAGACATTTTCCACCTTTGTCAACTTCTTTGAGATGCCAAATGAAGACTGAACTCAGAGCTGACCTGGAAACTTCAGCGCTGAGATGTCCAAAAAATATCCAAACACACCACAGCTGTGCACAGAGCACAGCACAGCTCCACTGTCCTTTCTCAGATTCATCCATAATCAAGATATTTGCTATGAACTTGTCATGGGCCAAGATCACCAAATTCCTCTTTCTTTTTTGTAACATGGTGAGATGACAGGACCTATCACACAGCATTAACTTTCCCTTTGTGAGCTGCTGGAAGCTGGGGTGGAAAGATAATAAGCTTTACTAAAATCGCTGTGATTACATCAGAATATGAATCTGTTGAGTGCACAGTTGAAAACTCGGCGGGGCTTTGTGTCGGGGTCCTCCAGTAGGCTCTGTGCAGCAGACAGGCTGACAGAGAGAAACACTTCTCTACCAGACTAAATCTGTAAGAACAGCAGTGGAAGTGTCTCCCACTGATTGTACAAATATAGATATATTTTTACTTGTTATTTATCTCACGAGTCGCTGTGATTTGGACGACAGAGATATGCTGCTTCAGTTTGCTCTGCCCTGCCTACTGAGTAACTCCGGCTTATTTTCATACTAACATTGATCGGGTGTTTAGCTGGGGGGCGGGATCTCTGCCGAGTGCTGCGTGAGCGTGCGCACAAACAGAGCGAACCAGAGGCGAAATAGTCTCATTTGTGCCTTTTCCAGTGGATTCTTCAGCTACTGTAGTAAATCCTGTCCATATTCAGTTTGTGGGTAATCTTAATTTTCTTTCACAACTTCTAAAAGTTTGTCTCTTGGCCCAGAGTAGAGCCCCGATGTGATGTATATTATATTTATCTGATACCTTAAGAACTCTTTGTTTTCACAATATGACTAAATTATGTACAGTAATAACGCTTGTTATTCAGGCTACTTCAAAAATTTACCATGAGAATTGTTTACTATAACGGTCATTTAACGATAAACTATAAAGCGTGTTTACATGTATTTTACAACATACGATCAAATATTTGAAGAATATTACTAAATGGACTATGCTGTGGCATCAGATGTCTGTGCTAAAAAATAAAAGCCACGGATGACTTCTAGCTCGGTAACAACGGAACCAACCGTGCCGTATACTCGATATGTTAAAGGATTTAACAAGGACACAGCACTGCAGATGAAACGGAACCAGCTCCTTACTTGGCTATCATGTATTTCCAAAGCTCCTTACCTGTTTTATTAGATTCCATCTTTAAATTAGAAATGATTGGATCCATCTTCAAAATCACTTCTGCATCGCATTTTTTAAATAAAGGTCTTTTTATATCAGAGTAGGGAAAATCACGTTAAGCTCACTAAGATGACAAAGGAGAATAAAAGCAAGACGTTCGAGACGCGAGAGTCTCCAGCAGCAAAGCTGTCATATATGCATACTTCCAGTAAACGAGGCCGTTTTGGGTTAACCATGAGTGGAAGTGCACCCAGTAATCTCTTCCTCCGACACCCGCATGCGCCTCATGGTAATTTTTCGGCTGGGCTGAAACCGTTCCTGGCACGGTAACGAAATTATTCAACAAAAATGTGCAAATAACGTGAGAAGTCTCGTGCTTTCAGTCAGCCTACAAATTGCTAGGGTGACAAACCGCGGTCAAATTTCTTGCGCTTCTACAGTCACCTTTTCGGCAGCGCCTGTTCTCTTTAATTCCCGATCGCATGTATGACAAGCCATTAGTGCCAAATATCGCCCCTTTTCTAACCCGTGGTTTTCTGCCACCCGGATGGCGCCTTGAACGCACCATCCGAGTGGCCAATAAACACGATTCTGATTATGAGGTATTTCCCTCTGGACTGGATGGCACACACGAGTAAATTAAGTAGAAAAATGTCATGTGTATAGCCTCTTTAAAAATTGTTTTTTGGAAACCACAAGAAGAGAAATATGTTGCATTCCCTTATGTCATTTTACATCTTCACTGTCAGTAGACAATTGTGAACATATTTTGATCTGGCTTTTTTTCCTTAACTCAATAGACCTGGCACACATTCTACAAAGACAACTCTCTTCCTCTGCTTCAAGCTCTTTGCTTGTAGCTTGAACCTATTCGCTGGAACGTTGAGGACAATATAATTGCACAGCAAAGCAAGACA